CTCTCGGGCCTGCGGTCCTTCCGCTGGGCGTGGGGCGTCTGTGCGTGCTTCCTCGCACCCTGGTCACGCCCTTGCACCAGCCCGGCAAGCTGACCCTGGGAGGCGTTTGGCCCCTGCGAGGGGTGCTTCGTGGGGGTTCCGTCCTCGGGCGTGGAGGCACCACGCCAGTGTCATCCAGCCACGCCCCCCACCATCTACGGGTTTCCCAGTGCTGTCGCGAGGCTCAGGGCTCGGGGCGCAGGCCTGCTGATTTGTCGTGCGTCCATATGCATGCCAAGCGCGACTCCAGTCCCTTGGCGCAATTCGCTGCGGCGCCAGCCGCAGGCGCTGGGCGCGCGCCCCGCTGGCCCAGGCGGCGCCCTGACAGCACAGTCCGCATCGGCATGGTCTCTCTTTCCCTCCCTACCTCCCTCGGTCTCTGTCTCTGTCTCTGTCTCTGTCTCTCTCTCTCTCTCTCGGTTCCTTTCCCTTCCGTATCGCTCTGTCTCTCTCTCTCTCTCTCTCTCCCTCTCTCTTTCCACATGCATGTATGTATGTATGTATGTATGCATGCATGCATGCATGCATGCATGCATGTATGTATGTATGTATGTATGTATGTATGTATGTATGTATGTATGTATGTATGTATGTATGTATGTTTGTATATATGTATGTATGTATACATACATATAAAACTCAATTATGTATATACCGTGTATTCCATAAATATACAAGACTGTATTGACACTTCGCGCCATACACTTTGGTTCTGCAGGTTTGGCTCGCAGACAGAGAGGCAATCAGGTAAAACGGAACACTTAGCGACAATTCATTGTTGCCTTTTCAAGCATCATCGTCGTAATTATGTTGTTCGTTATCCTTCCCTAATTTTCCCTCTTCCTCTTCCTCATTCTCGCCCTACCCTGCGAATTCGCCACCATCCTCAGTTTTTTTTGTGGAGGCTCATCCTAGGATGACCTCTTGTAAGGGATTGTTGGGATTGTTGGGACCTTCTGGAAGCCTCCTGGCTTCCTTCTGGGGGCCACTGGGGGCCTCCCCGGGCCACCCTGCTTCCAACCGCGGTCGCCCTGAACGACTGGGTCACGATTTGGAATGATTCGGGGGGCGTCTTGGGGCCATCGTGGGCCGTCATGGGTCTCTCTTCGGGCCATCTTGGGGCCCTGTTGGGCCGCCTTGGGGCTCCTCTTGTACTGCCTGGAAGCCCTCTTGGTTGAATTTGGGGCGATGCTCTTGCCCCCTGGACAGTCTCGGACGCTTGGAACACCGAAGAACTGAGCATTCCACAAATCACGCAAAAACCGTAGGAAATCAATGCTTCTTGCGTTTCGAGTGCCTCTTGGGGGTCTCCTTTGGGTCGTCTTCGGGCGTCTGGTGAGCGTCTGGGGCCTCTGTGGGCTCTCGCGGGGCCGTCCGGCCGCCCTCCTGACCGGTTTCGGCCGGACCGTTTGCAAGGGCGTCGGCGTCCGGAGTGCCCCTGGGGCCAAGGATCCGGAGGGGTCACGTTTAGGGGGGGGGGTCGCAGGGTCCCAGATTATAGAAATATGGAAAAGGGAATGCGTGTATGTGTTTTCATTTCTCCCCGTGGGCAGTCATATACATACGATTCAGTGTGCACATGTGTATGCATACATATCAGTGTGCATACACACATATCTATACATACATACATATATATATATATGTGTATATATATATATATGCATGCACATATCCCTCTCTCTCTCTCTCTCGTTTTTTTTTTTTTTTTTTTTTTTTTTTTTTTTTTTTTTTCTCTCTCTCTCTCTCTTTCTTTCTTTTTTGATCTCTCTCTCTCTCTCCCCACCTGGGGCCCAGAGGTTGATGGTGGTGGAAACCTTCGTTCTCTCAAGGCTGAAAAAGACACCAATATGGAACGGGAGGGATGATCAGGGCTGTTTATGGTTCGATCGATACGACGCCTGCCGATGCTTGCGCGCGGCATCAACCGATTCGGTCGCGCACCCCTACTTGTGACTATGTATCCTCCTCCGCGGATGCGGCTCGATTCGACCGGTTCGATCCTTGCAAGCGAAACGTGCGATCTGCGACCCGGGCCAGCCCCCTTCTAAGCCGCAGAGGGGGTGGGGGGATGGGCCCGAACCTTGGGGGGGGGGCGGCGGGGGCGTTGGTGGACGAATGTGCCTGGGAGGCTTCCGACCCTTCGTGATTCCTTATCTGATGAGGGCGGCGGTGATATCCAGAGCCACTCCACGACTGGAGTTCCACGGGCTTCCAGACCCTGGATCCCTTATCCAGTGGCTCTTTCTGTCCGATGCCCTCGCCGTATCGTGCCAGTACTCCCCCGCTGCTCGCGGCATCCGGCCTGGCCGACCCGTGGCCCCTCTCCTCGCGCCCGCGGCGCGCGTGGCGCGCGCCCGCCCCCCCTCACGAGCGGCGGCGAACATGCTCGTACCCGCTCCCTCGAGGAGGAGGAGGAGGAGGAGGAGGAGGAGGAGGAGGAGGAGGAGGAGGAGGAGGA